TGATTCTTCAGATCCTCATATAATGAAACAGTTTCTTGTGAGTAAGCCAAGGGTAACACCTTTTCATTCAGTAACATCTGCACTTGGAATTCTTCTTTAGGAGTCTTAGCATTTTCACAATGGTAAAGGACAAATATAAGGTTCGAGGCATAAGGTACAATGTGGCCACTTCGGAATTTTCTATGCATTTGTTTCTGGTAATTGTAAGCTGTTAGGGGTTCCTTGTCTTTGAAGTAGCCCATGAGAGAAAGCAGTGGAAGAAGGGTCTCTGCATGACCAAACTGGAGGATGACTGGAGAAGACACTGGTTGAGACCTTGAAAGAGAAAATGAGGAGAGAAAAATATACATATTCACATCATCAAACATAATATTTAGACTTGGAAGTAGTGTTTAACTTTCCTTTCTTGTTGTTTAATCTTATTTTTTAAAAGCATATAACTGAAACCCTGTAAACTGAACTTTTTACACTGGAAGGTCTTCAAGTTCCAAGACTCAGGGTCACTTGTAGTAGGACAGAATGTCTAAATAAATTTTTTAAAAAACCCACCCAACTACACAGATGTTATCCTTTTTGTGGCTGAAGGAACCTGAAACAGGTGGACTTCAACACTGTAATGCCTTTCTATAAGTGAAAGTGAACAAACTGGCACTAAATAAGATTATTCCACAGAGCTCTTCTAAATAAATTTAAAGTGGTTCTTTCCCCCCTCTATTTGGGGGTATGGACAAGAGCTATTCAATAAATTTCTTGGTTAAGATCAAGTCTGAACTGTGAAGCAATTCATGTCTTCAATGTTTTATAAGACTTGATTTGGGTACCAAATTCAGAATAAAGCCACAAAAGGGTAGTAGTGCAATCTAAACTAGCTCATAAGTCTCTGGGTGGGAGTAGGAGTTTATACACTGCCAGAAATCAATCACTTTCAACATATGAGCTGTATTCTTCTTCTTTTTTGGGGGGGTACTGCGGATTGAACTCGGGTCCTTGTGCTTCCAAGGCAGGCTACCGAACCGCTGAGCTAAATCCCTGGCCCTGTATTCTTTTTTTGTATGACTTTTTTTTTTTTCCTGGTAAAAACTTTAATAAGAAACAGCAAATGATGGCTTAACCTTTTCCCAAACGGACTTCAACACTGTAATGCCTTTCTATAAGTGAAAGTGAACAAGCTGGCACTAAATAAGATTATTCCATAGAGCTCTTCTAAATAAATTTAAAGTGGTTCTTTCCCCCCTCTATTTGAGGGTATGGACAAGAGCTATTCAATAAATTTCTTGGTTAAGATCAAGTTTGAACTGTGAAGCAATTCATGTCTTCAATGTTTTATAAGATTTGATTTGGGTACCAAATTCAGAATAAAGCCACAAAAGAGTAGTAGTGCAATCTAAACTAGCTCATAAGTCTCTGGGTGGGAGTAGGAGTTTATACACTGCCAGAAATCAGTCACTTTCAACATATGAGCTGTATTCTTCTTTTTTTTTTTTTTTTTTTTTTTTTTTTTTTTGTCTTTTTTTTTTTTCCTGGTAAAAACTTTAATAAGAAACAGCAAATGATGGCTTAACCTTTTCCCAACTTTTATATAAACAGTATGACTACTGTTCTTAAATTTGTAAACCTATTAAAATATGACTGACTTCTTGCTACCCCTCCACATATCAAATAATAAATTTACTGCAGCTGGATTTTTATGGGAAGACAGAGGAGTAGTTTGGGACACTCCTGATTTCCCACATATAACAGCAAATTCCAAAACCCTTGAAAAATACAAAATAATTGCATAGTCACATATTCTCTATGAACCACCAATAAGCCTCAAGAACTGCCTATTATTTGCATCAAGTGGAAAGAAGCCACTGACTGCCTGAACAATTGGGGGGGTACCGCGGATTGAACTCGGGTCCTTGTGCTTCCAAGGCAGGCTACCGAACCGCTGAGCTAAATCCCCAGCCCTGTATTCTTTTTTTTGTATGACTTTTTTTTTTTCCTGGTAAAAACTTTAATAAGAAACAGCAAATGATGGCTTAACCTTTTCCCAAAAAGCAGGAAGCTTGTTAGGCTCAGGAGAAACCTAGACCCCATGAGCTCTTCAACACAAAGCCATACGAAGAAAAGGAAAGAGACAAGGCAGCTAGGGTCAGTACAGATAAAGGAAAGAGTAGGTCCAGATGAAAGCAGGGGAGGGGAGACTGAGGAAACCTCAGCAAGCGGCCCACGGTATTTCTGAACAGGAAGCTCTGTGAACTTAGAAAAGTAGCCCCACCCAAGCATTCTAAATGCTCAGGAAAACTCAACATTCAAATGAACTGCATAAAAGTAATAAAAGAGAATAAAGAACAGAAAAACATTCATACAGAAACTGAAAGTATGCTAGAAACACTCAAAAAATATATGAAAACTCTTAACAGCATTTCAAAACCAGACCGAAAGACAATTTCACAACTCTGAGGTTAATATTCTCTAAATGGTGTAAAATTCAAAAGCCATTTATTAACTATAGATTCCAAGTCTCACTTTATATATGGTATAAGCTATTTTGAAATTTTGCATTTGTCAGTATTTAAGAATTGAGAGATTAAACATGGATAAAAATCCAGATTTTTTTATTTTCTTGGAAAGCGGAAAGATACATTCCCATAAAGCAATAACCAGCTGAACAGGAAAGTAAAAAGAATTAAGATGTGTTATGTTTATGTACCAACCCCCCACAATGAATGTTATCATTATCTGCTATAAACATGTACTATAAAAATAAAAATTAAACTATTCTAAAAAAATTAAACTATAAAGGAGCTTATAGCCAATAGTATATATAACACTGACTAACGATTACTATAAGATAGTCAGTCATTCCTCTGCTACTTGCCTGGCCCCTTCATGCATTTAAGTCATTATTTAGATAAAATGGAATTTAATAGTGACACATGTTCAAAGGAAAGTAATCCAAATGTACTAGTTTGCATATTAAATTCTTCAGCTATTAGGCAGAAGCCATAAAGGCAGGAACAACCCTATGCCCAAGGTGTCATTTTTGTTCTCCACGAGTTTAGGATACAGGCAAGGACAGCAGCAATAACAGCAAAGCTTCTACTTTGCCAGGACAGAATTTAGTATCAGGAACTCTCTTTCCCAATGAAGAACTCCAATAAACCAAAGGTAAGATAAAAGGCAATATATCCAAAATATTATTGGTTCGACATGTAACATATAAAATTGGGACGGGTAGGGGAAGGGTAATAAGGGAAAAGAAAAAAATGTGAGAAAATGAAAAGATGAAAATAAAGTGATTGTAGATGGGTAGGGGAGGAGAGGGTGAAGGGAGGGCAGGGACAAGGGGAAAAAATGAGAACCAAGACCTGTCATATCCCCACAATGAATGTTATCATTATGTACTATAAATATGTACTATAAAAATAAAAATTAAACTATTCTAATAAAAATTAAACTATAAAGGAGCTTATAGCCAATAGTATATATAACATTGACTATCAATTACTATAAGATAGTCATTCCTCTGCTATTTGCCTGGCCCCTTCATACATTTAAGTCATTATTTAGATAAAATGGAATTTAATAGTGACACATGTTCAAAGGAAAGTAATCCAAATGTACTGGTTTGCATATTAAATTCTTCAGCTATTAGGCAGAAGCCATAAAGGTGGGAACAACCCTATGCCCAAGGTGCCATTTTTGTTCTCCATGAGTTTAGGATACAGGCAAGGACAGCAGCAATAACAGCAAAGCTTCTACTTTGCCAGGACAGAATTTAGTATCAGGAACTCTCTTTCCCAATGAAGAACTCCAATAAACCAAGGGTAAGATAAAAGGCAATATATCCAAAACATTATTGGTTCGACATGTAACATATAAAATTGGGATGGGTAGGGGAAGGGTAATAAGGGAAAAGAAAAAAATGTGAGAAAATGAAAAGATGAAAATAAAGTGCTTGTAGATGGGTAGGGGAGGAGAGGGTGAAGGGAGGGCAGGGACACGGGGAAAAAATGAGAATGAAGACCTGTCATGTAGAGGTACAAGATCCCAACAATGAATGTAACTGTACTGTATCCCTAAAATGTACCAATAAACTCAATTAAAAAATAAATAAAATCATTAATGAGCTTTATATTCTTTTTTGTACCACGTGTTCGTATAGATACTTTAATTCAGACCAGCCCTTTTTCAAGTGTTAACCACATATTGCAGGTGCCTACTGTGTTGGACAAGAAGTTTAGACAGTGGCACAGGGACTTAAATTCAAATATCAAATAAAGAAGAAATAGAAAAAAAAAAAAAGGTGCCATTTTTGTTCTCCATGAGTTTAGGATACAGGCAAGGACAGCAGCAATAACAGCAAAGCTTCTACTTTGCCAGGACAGAATTTAGTATCAGGAACTCTCTTTCCCAATGAAGAACTCCAATAAACCAAGGGTAAGATAAAAGGCAATATATCCAAAACATTATTGGTTCGACATGTAACATATAAAATTGGGATGGGTAGGGGAAGGGTAATAAGGGAAAAGAAAAAAATGTGAGAAAATGAAAAGATGAAAATAAAGTGCATGCAGATGGGTAGGGGAGGAGAGGGTGAAGGGAGGGCAGGGACACAGGGAAAAAATGAGAACGAAGACCTGTCATGTAGAGGTACAAGATCCCAACAATGAATGTAACTGTACTGTATCCCTAAAATGTACCAATAAACTCAATTAAAAAAATAAATAAAATCATTAATGAGCTTTATATTCTCTTTTGTACCACGTGTTCGTATAGATACTTTAATTCAGACCAGCCCTTTTTCAAGTGTTAACCACATATTGCAGGTGCCTACTGTGTTGGACAAGAAGTTTAGACAGTGGTACAGGGACTTAAATTCAAATATCAAATAAAGAAGAAATAGAAAAAAAAAAAAAAGATACCAGACAAATTAAAACACACATATGGAAAACGTGGGTTGAGGAATGAGTACAGACCAAAAAGGCTAAGTACAAATCGTAAGAGTTCAAATTCATTAAAACATATTCAAGCTTTAGAAGAAACTAAAGCTAGGTTATGACACAAACTTTTTTTTAAGTGATAGGGACTGAACCCAAGGCCTCAGGAATTCTAAGTACATGTTCTACCACTGAGCTACCATCCCAAGTCTTGACCCCAAATTAAATTTTACATCTGAAAGTTCTTTGGGTTTAAATAAAAAGCAGTTACCCCCATTATTTTTCTTTTGTCTGCCTTGTTGTTAAACAAATTTTAAAAACCATATTTTTTTTAGAAGAAAATGGTACTTTAAAATGCTTATTGGAGAACTCAACAAAAATTAGGCCTCC